ATTTCATTACTTTTTATGAACTACGTTCCACTCGTGACGGTCTTTTGGTACAATAAAAGAAAAGAGTCTGTTAATTTATTTGAAAATAACATATGTGGAGATCACGTATGTGGTTTTCAATCGTCGTTGGCTATTTTTTGAAATTTACGCAATAGTCTTTTAATATCAAAGAGGCAGGATATTTAGATAAAACTCGGTTAACCTCATGCATGCTGACCACATACGAGTTTAATTAATTCTAAAGTTGAAGAGAAGGCTGCATAAGGTTAATGCTTTGATATCGTCCCTATTGAACCTGTTGTTCATTGTTTTACCGGGAAATTACGACTTATAACAGAAATGGTATCATATTCTAGTCAGACTTCCAATGAATTCAGCTGAGCGATAAAACCGTTAACGGTCATAAAACACTCACGTTTCATGAATGCACGCAGTAAAATGCTTATGACCCAGCATAGATAAAATCACGTAATTACGAACACTGAAATATTAATTCTGCAATACTTTCGTATTCATGACAAATCTCGACCAGAAAGAAATACCTTCTCTTGGAATTCCTTTTTTCGAAATCTCTATAATTCCAGCAACGTTAGAATAGCAGAGACAAAACGAAGGGAGTGCCATTTAAACGGGATCAGGCTTAAATTATAGGGATCAACGAGCGTGAACAGTATTTACCCAGCCATTGAATCGAGTCGACTTTTCTCCCAACGCAGTCTCTGACCTCGTTCGAATTGTACCGTAGTTCGTGACATTTTAACGTCAAGACAAAACGAGCTTCACTTAGACTACACCCAGTTGAAACTTCCCTTTTTATTTTTGGAATTTAAGGTCACATTAACGCTCTTGGTTATTAGCATCGGCGTAACTAGCGACTGGGCTTGGGTTTCTTAAAATAATGCTGGAACTCGGGTTGCGTATGGGACTGGGTTGGGTACTTCTTGTGAGGTGTACTGAAGTTTATATTAAATTTGCGAATTTTAAGATCAGTTTATTGAATCATTTTCTGTTTACTTTATAAGTTTGCAAGTTTTAATATGTGGATCTTTAAGTACCTAAACTGCTGGATCTTCAAACACCTAAACTGATGCATCTTCAAACACCTAAACTGCTAGATGTTTATATAACTAAATTGCTGAATCTTCAAATACCTAAACTACTGTATCTTCAAATACCTAAATTGCTGCATCCCGAACTACCCAAACTTCTGGATCTCCAGATAGCTAAACTGCTAGATCTCCAAATACGTAAATTGCTGTATCCCTAAATATCCAAACTTCTGGATCTCTAAATAGCTAAACTGCTGGATCTCCAAATACCTAAACTACTGTATCTCCAAATACCTAAATTGCTATATCCCTAAATACCCAAACTTCTGGATCTCTAAATAGCTAAACTGCTGGATTTCCAAATACCTAAACTACTGTATCTCCAAATACCTAAATTGCTATATCCCTAAATACCCAAACTTCTGTATCTCTAAATAGCTGATAGATGTCGAAACACCTAAATGAAATTCTGAAAAGAAAAACGTACGCCATTGTAATCGTTCATAATCCAGCAATTATTCTGTAATTCGCTTTATTGCAAACGATCCATGAAATGCGTACGATACTTAATGGACCGTGTCCATCATTATTATCCGTTTAAACAATAATTCATATTCTGAAAGCTGCGCGTCGACCAACGCCACAGCTCCGCGAAATTAACGAGCGCTCTCGATTTTACTGCTCGGCAAATTACCTATCCCATCGAAGATAGAAGAAGCTACTTTCCCATTAGCGGTGAGCTGAATCACAGAAGGAAGGAGTCTTCGCTTTTTAAATCGAGCGTTACGCTTTTCCATGCTACTTTATCGTCGACAGGCTTCTTTTGCCAGTATCGATCAACGAGATGTTTAACCAAGCGAGGAGATACACCGGGTTCAAAGGATAAAACCGAGCGGAAACCAGTTACTCGCCTGTTCGATGTGGCCGCGTAGGTATTTCGAGGATCGGTTCATCGATTTATCGCGAACGAAATTGTTGTCGTCGCCTTTTAAGGGGTTGTTTTCACCGTTGCTCGATGGAAAAAAAAAGAATATAACTCGAGGTACTATGAATTCGATGCGCTGTGAATTTAGTGGGGAAGCGGACACGTTACTAATCTAATGTACTACTGATCTAACGCGCCGCAAATACACGTCAAGAATTTAATGCGTATTCAACGCGCCGCAAATCTAACGCGCTGAGAATTTAATGTGTGGTGAATCCAACACGTTGAGAATTTAACGCGGTGCAAATTCAAAGCATCGAGAATTTAAAGCGTGGAAAATCCATCGTGTCAAAAATCTGACGCACCGCAAATTCAACGCATCGCAAATCCAACGCACCGCAAATTCAACGCACCGCAAATTCAACGCATCGTAGAT